GGGGGGGGGGGAGGGGGTGCATTGTGCGAATGTCCACACGATGTGGCAAGACTTTTTATTGCACCGAGCTTCCGATTTCTGGCAAACATATTTTTTTCGGTGACCTCGACTTTCCCATGGGTTGAAGAAAAGCGGTACATTATTTTTTTAATTATTACATAACATAACGGTGGCTACGAGCTCGCAGATGAAACTTTCGATGTCGACTAAACAGCACAAAACTATCGGCAGGCAAAACCTGTGAGATTGTATTCCAAGACTTCGGTCTGTAACTTTTTATCTTAAGAATGGACAGAGTATTTATGCAGTAAATCACGCTACGTCATATGGAAGACAGTGAATACAAATACAAATAAGTTTGTAAGGTTACTAGATGAATAAAGACACTACTAGAATTGTTATAGAGGACCTTTCAGACATAATCTTGCTTAGAGATAAAATCGCCGAACCGTTTATGTACAGGGAAGGTACATTGACTAGCGCTCTGACGCTGTTTCATTGGCATTATCTACGTCGACTGTGTCCGTATTCAAGGGGAAACACATAGTTTTGTTGGTATGGGATGTCAATCATTTTCTATTTTTCGAGTACAAGTGGCGAAACAGGCACTTTTCTTTAAAAAAAACACAAAAAGTGGCATGCTTAAAATCAAAATTTTTCATAAATTTAAAATAAATTATATTTTACTTATATTATGGACGATAATTACAATACACAAAAGACGAAAATTGTGGACGAAAGTCCACAATGTGGACGAGAGTCCAAATTGTGGACTTTCATTGTGGACTTTCAAAATTGTGGACGAAAGTGTAAAATTCCTTAAAATTTTACACTTTTTACCAATTTATTGATCAAAAAAAATTTGTGATTAATGCGTTAGTTGATTAATAAGCGGGCCAATCAATTGTGTTCAGTTTTTTAACCAATTTTTTTGCATTAATTATCGATTTATATTTTGATCAATAAATTGGTAAGAAGTGTACCTGTTTAAGGGTTGTCACAAGCATCATACTCTTTCGTGCATTGTTTTTAAATTATCGTTCGCAAAATCAGCAGAATATAATTTATTTCGGATTGAAGCAAAATTTTTGGTCATACGCCTGCCACTGTTTGCTCTTCCTTCCAGGAAAAGTGCCTGATTAAGAACTAGCACTCAAACAATAAGAATGTGTCTTAACTCTCTACTTTACGGGCTGCTTACCTTCCTTCTCGGCAACATTCCTTATTGGCATATGGTATCATTTTTTCACAAACAAATCGTGTACAGAAAGGTGGATGAGGAATCAGTAAAAAAACTGCGCCCTGCTACGTTTTAAGCACCCGGTCAAATATTTGAATCTAATAAATATTTTCCGGTAAATTCTGCGGATCTTTCACACTTTAATTACCCAGAAGGTGGCAACATGAAGTCCGTAAAAGGTAGAAGTGTTGTACGTTGGGCGAGTTGGTACGATGACAAAGTGATGGAACAGCGCGCAAAAAGTCAAGGACAGCGCATGTGTGTTGTGCATCTTCCTTCTCTCTGACCTTGTCGTTTTGTGCGTTTTTCTGTTCACTATGTCCGTAAAGGGTCTATGCATTCCTTTCTGCCCATGTGCCCATGACATTTTAATGTATGCAAAACATACCATTACATGAAATTAAATTCTTTCATAATATATATTGATCCTACGTTCCTAGGAATACACGAATAAAAAAGAATGTGTTTACCGAATTTGTATTGTTAATGATGCGTCAGCTTGAACTTACAGAAACAGACGTAGAGAGGACGGGACAATAGGTAACAGTTAACTGCTTCGCTTTAGCGCACTTCTTCGTACGTGCAGTCGTCTTTTTTTTCAAGCTGTTCATATATACACAAAAAACCTATTAGTTTAAAATAGTGTTTACACACCGAATTGTTTAAATGTATCGTTACCGGCTCTTCCCCGAGCTATCTGGGCGTGGCCCACCGCAGATTTATATAATTTTTCTCTTTTCTTTTTTTTTTTTTTTTTTGCTGTGGATTGTTTTGGACAAGTTATCTGGGCACTGCACAACGGAAAAACTGTTTTTTTTTTGTTTTTTTTTTGTAGTTAGTGATGGATGAGGTGTGAACACATTCTTCCCCTCCCCGTGCTCTTGGATGACCAGTGCCTTGAGCCTGTCATGTACAAAAGAATTCTTGTTTGTTGTCAGAACGGTTATGTTGCTGAATGCTGCACTGCATTTTTATGTCTTACAGTGAGCTGATAAATGTCCTGTTCATACGCCCTTCACAGATGGTGCATGTTCTCTAATACTGTCGTTTATGCAAAAGCCTTCTTGGCCAATGTAACATTTACCACACGAAAGGGGATTGTGATAAACAACTCCTGTTTGGCACTGGGCGTATCTTGTTCTGTGGGGAGTGTCGCAAGTTTTCATTTTGTTTGTCGGCTGGTGAACACTTCTGCACATAGAGTATGCTCTGCTTAGGGCTGAGCAAACTACTTGTATATTCTGTCTTCCTGCGATCATTTTTCTTTTATCTTGTGGGTAATCTTGTGTATCAGTGGTATAACGATGTTCTTTTTTCGGGTATTTCTTTTTTCTTTGTAGTCTGCCGTTGTGCGTTTCAATTTCTTGCATATGTTCTCGGGGACTAGAAGAGCTGTTGGGTATCCTGCGTCGCGAAGTCTCGAAACCTCTTTTTCAAACTTATCTTGGCGTTTGGGACACTTTGATGTTCACAAGATTTGTTGAGGGCAGAAACAAAAGCTGTGCTGGCAACATTTCTCTTGATTCATCTTTGAGTGCCCGGACGTAAATGGACGAATACCCCTTTGTTGACTGGGGTTCGTATCTCCAGCAAACGTGTTCTTGCTTAAGTTCGATCGCGAGATCTAGGGACTTTATGGGATCGTTTACGGCTGATTCATGGGTGAACACTACATTCGGGCTACTCTTTTGAAAATATCATATAGTCTTTCTTCTGTATCCTTGTTAGCATATATATCTATATATATGAAGTAATAAAGTCGCACTTCGAAGCGTTCTTGGAGTTTTAAAGCATTTAGTGAGTCGACGCTTCTTTTATATATATTTTTTTATTCTAATTTTTATTAGGCAGGTTTAATGATCGATGAACGGTCACCAATGAACCAGTTAAAAATTCTTGCTCGTGTACAGCTTTATAATCTACATTCGAAACAAAATCATTTCTCCTATGGTAGGGTTCCGTGTTTTCGGATAGATCCGAAAAACGCCGAAAAATACTCGCCGGTAAAGTTTTATGTCAATTCAGATTTATTTGATAAACTTAGAATTTCAATTTATCAATGCCAAAAAGATACTGTACTTTACAATTAAAATATCCCGAGTGAATGCCACCCCAGATTTCTTACAAATCTCGAACCATCGACAAAAGTTGATCTTACCATTTATATCGTCAAGGTTCATTCAGGACAACAGGTCATTGTACTTTCGGGTGACGTTGTACTTTCGAGTTCTTTCTCTTGTTTCTTCTAATTTATCTTCAAGTTCCTTCCAGACTCAGGGCTGGGAAGGAACTTGAAGATGTCCTCATGAATAGAAGACACTGTTCCGGTTTCCAGTTTGGTCTATACTATTTGTGCATCTTGTAGGGAGGATGAGTTTCGTTTTTGTAACAGTAAAAGCTATGAAGCATGGTGAGTTAGTATACCAGGGGAAGAAGGGGTTGGCAGTCGAAGCTTCTGTATTACGCCCTTTAGCACTCCACCCTGCTCAGCCGCGTGGATTGTAGGAAAATGAGCTTCGCAACGACTATTTACCAAAGTTGAATGATTTTAAAGTATCGACGTTTATCAAAGCACCATTTCTTTGCAACTTTTGTGGTGGGATAAATTAGTATTGCCAATGGCAATGGCACCAACGCAAAATCCATTAAAAAAAATTAATTGAAACCAGCGCGTTTTTCTACATCTATCACACGTTAACACCCAAAAAATATTTATTTTTGTTCGAAAAAATTGCAAAATCAAGCTTCGAATTTTTGGAGAATCAGGAATCAAACAAAAAATAAACACTGATAAGCTCCGAATTTTTTGTTAAAAATAAACTCCGAAAAACCCGCTCCGAATTTGACGAAAACTAAACACCGAAAGCAGAGAACCCTACCAGTAGGCAAAAGCGCTTTCAATTATTAAACATGCGCATTAATGCGTACGACTTCAAAACAACACCTAGCGTAGTGCGCATCTCAACGCTGTACACGGTGGCCCCAGCGCCATCATCAAATCGGTGGCTCGCTAAATTCAGCAGGGCCGGTGGCGTTCACACGCGAGACAGCGTGTCCGCGTCACGTCTTCAAAGAAGGAGTGGCTTCTTCAATCAAGATTTAACGCTCCTCCGGCGATGTTGCCTCGTCCGAAACCCGAACCGTCGATCGTGATGCTCTCTCCACGGGAGCCACACCGCGTCAGGGGAATCGGGTCCGCGCTGGACAGAGTTCAGCGCCCTCGGTATATGCCTTTTTTTATTTCGCGTCCCCAGCGTCGTTGACGGACAAGGTCAACCCGCGCCGGCGTTAAAAGCGCCGACCTCCCTCGCCCGCTGCTCTACGAGGCTCGACCGCACACGTCCGGCACGGGGCCCCAGCGTAGCCACGCTGGGACGCAGTCATACGGCGCGTTCAATCACCCACATCCCTTCCCCGCTGGCGACCGCCCGAAGCAGCCTAGGACCAGGCAACCCCCCTTCCAAAAAACGGGCCGAGACGTTTCTTTTATTATTCTTCTTAAGAAACTGCCACCCTACCTCCTCGCCGATATGGCAGCCGATTAAAGATCCAACAGCGCCTCGCGCCCTCTCCCGCCGCCGAAACGAGTTACACAGAGGAGGCCTCCGTGGCCACGGGCAAACGCGCCGCGGCATAGCGCAGCGGAGAACCGACTGGACAGTTGCCCGCAGGGACCCGTCTTCAGTAGGTCAGCGGCACAGAACGGCAGCGCTAGGAGAGCATGAGCCGAGCTGCGGCGGCGCTACCCTCTCCCACGCAGGAGAGCACGTTTCGGGCGAGAACGAAGCGGCTAGCCGGAGCGTCTCCCCAGACCGGACTTCATTGACGACGCCGGCGCAGACCATGCGGCCACGATGATCCTGCACAGGAACATGTTCCGACTCGAGCTGCTGGCCAGGGTGCCTCCCGCGCAGAAGGCGCCCTCGGACGAGGACTGCCTTGCTCTGGCCAAGAAGTCTGCGCGCAGCATCGACGAAGGACCTCTCTACCTACTCCTGGTCGATGGCGTCAAAGTGAGGTCCAGGAGCGAATGGTCTTCGGCCCCCACGGAGGTCCGTAACCACGGGAACCTGTTGACGTGCCTGTTTGACCCGGAAGAACCGCGCGTTGTCACCACGGTCTTCCAACAGGACGGTACGGAGGACTCCGAGCGCAAGAAGGAGGTTGTTGTGTGGAGGGCCGCCACGGAGGACGAGGCTAGGGCCCTCTGCAACTTCAAGGACCCGACCCCAGAAAGCGAGTCCCTGAGTAGCTCTCCCAGCGACACCTTGTCTTCGCTGGCTTCACTCTCGTCCACGGGCTCCTCGGACAGTTTCAAGACCAGCTCCAGCAGGCAGGTCCTTGTTGCTGCCAGCAGGAACGGATCCCGAGATCGCAAAGCGGACGCGAGACAGCGCGAAGCGCCCAAGGTCCTGGCGCCTCCTTCGACCGAACAAGACCGGTCCAGGAAGTCGGACGCGTCCAAGAAAGATGCCCCTCGCAAACTGCCGCTTCTCTGGACGGCCGCCGCGGCATCCCTGAAACGAGCGCCGCAGATTCTGGTCCGGCCTGCTGGGACCCAGAGCCTTCAGCCGGGACCAACGCCCTGGATACACTGGTCACCTCCCCGAGTCCCGCTCTGCTTCCAGTACTTCGGCCGGCCAGTTCTGACTCAGGACAGCCGAAGCTTCCGCCCCCACATGCCCGTCCAGCTTCAACAACACCAGATAAAGGAGCTGCAGCGGGCCAGCACCCGAAACACCGCCGCGGTGCTACACGCTCCTCAAAGATCCATGCTGCGCTCGGGCTCGCTAAGCAGCCAGGAGTCGAGCGGATCCGACAACGAGGGTAACCACGCCAACGGGGACTACAGCCACCACTCGAGGCATCGCTCCAAGAAGGTGGTGACTTTCAACTACATGACCAAAGTGCAGTTCATGTAAATGACCGCGTGTGCGTGTGTGTTTGCGAGGGCGGACCGCCGAGTGAATGCGTGAGCGTCCCCCCTTTCACCATCTGTACCTCTTCCCTTCCCTCGGGAGCTTCCCCTCAAGGTCCTCCAGCGCGCGACTCGTGCCATAACGGAACACGTCGGCGGTGAGGACATGCGGCCACAGACCACGTGCGGTGAGCTCGCGGGAAGTGACGGGCAGCGACGACTTCCGGCGCGGTTCTCCTCCCATATCTTCCACGGCCAGATTGGAAGATACCGGACGAAGATGGCGGCCGGCCCAGGACTGGGGCGTTTCGTGGGTGCGCGTGCGATCGAGTAGCCCAGAATCGCCCAGTCGAAGACTAACCAGGATATACTGTCCTAACGGTAACGTCGACCATCTTTCTATCTCGTCCTTTTTTTTTTCTTTTTTGGCAACAACAGCCGAGCTGCACGATTTCGAGAAATACTATGCTAAGACAAATAATTGTGAATATACCGCACAAAACATGCAGCACCACTGAAATATTCGGTTCGTCGTAGTATGCGTTTTTATTTTATAAGTTACAGAGTAGCGCCGAAATGCATCTTCGTATCGTTCCTAACTGATATATAACTAATTCCAGTTTATCTGACCATGTAAATATAAAGGAGTCGTTTAGCCGAACTGCTAAATCACGTTTGGTCCTATAGCACTGATATAGGATTGCGGAAACGTCGAGGAATAATTATCGAAGAGTTTATGTTCACCCGACTGGATGGGCTCTAGTGGAGAGAATACTTTGTGACTGCGACAGAGCATCGACGATAGCGCTCTTGAATGTGTAAGATAAGAAGAGAAAATAAAATATTTCGCTTAACTTTTTGTCGTCTGGAAGACTTCTTATTTCGGTGAACTAAGTTATAGCCGGTTTAGGCAAATAAATTGTTCCAAAGGCAACGTCACATTTTTACATCACGCAGCAGATTATCTCAAATACAAATGCATGAGGAGTGTGCGTGGATGACTGCGTAAATGAGTGTCTGAGAAGAAATCTGAAGGGCTATCAGCATCTAGGAGCGTTCCATTTGGCATATGACAACGACGAATGGGGATCTCTTCGCGAAAATTACTTGCTCGCCTGATTGTTATCGTCGCTTGGAGTGGCCAGTATCGCACGAACATGCCTCATATATCTGTAGGCGAGGTGTGAATATTTGCTTAAAATAGACTTGTTTCAAATATACATTGTAATAACTTGTTTTCTAAATATTTTATAGAGCGGTGTTCGTTTTTTTTAGTTTACTGAGAGCGTGCACAATATGTATAGCATCTTCGCGAAATTTTGCAACAGAGCACAAAAGCCAAGGCAAGTAATGCGTGCCCTGTCGTACCGATAAAAACTAAATTAACCGTGCAACATAATTGATATTTGCCTTGAACTGAAGGTACTAAAAATACTTTAAAATATACAACGGAACTTCGAGACCTGCTAGGGACTTCTTAAGGCTCGTTCACACATTTACAACCGTGTACGACCGAGAGAGACAAGACCGGTTTTGAAGCCTCTTACGACATCTTAGGACCCGCTCCGCAGCAGCGCACCCGGTCCTAAGACGTCGCAAGAGGCTTAAAAACCGGTCTGGTCTCACTCGGTCTTACTCGGTTGCATATGTGTGAACGGCGCTTTAAGGCCCGTTCACACTCTTGCGATCGAGTAAGACCGAGAGAGACCAGACCGGTTTTTAAGCCTCTTGCGATCTCTTAGGACCAGCTCCGCTGCAGCGCATCCGGTTGTAAGAAGTCGCAAGAGGCTTAAAAACCGGTCTGGTCTCTCTCGGTCTTACTCAGTCGCAAAAGTGTGAACGGCGCTTTAGTCTCGTAGTGTACATCTAATTGCAAGTCCAGAAACTTCGTAGTGGCAGGAGAGTTGAGATTTAGGAAATGGAGTGTTTTTTTGTTTCTGTTTTGCTGGGTTGCACATCGAACCCAGGTGTTGCAAATCCTAACCGTAAAAAGCGCTGCTTGTTTGTCAAATTGGTTGTTTGGTTTATTTATTCAAAATACTAGGCGCTGTTACGTTTTCATTTTCATTTTGTTTTAGTTTTCGTATGTCACGGAAAACAAAGAAACATCGAAACAGTTTTGACATGGAAATATGCATTTTCATTAACCTATAATCCCAAATAAATTAACAGAATACGGGGTTCTTAAGCGCCTTTAAACATTACAAAGTTTACATTTATAATACTGGCGACTCGGTCAATTGATTACATAAATAAATTATCTATGCATTTTTATTTTATTTTTGAAATCTCGCTTTTAATGATCCTCCTGTCAAAAGTAATTGAATGGACTAGAGGCACGCGCTTTCATTCTTGGTCCTCGAAATACTAAAATCTCGCCTCCACTAGGTTCATCAAATCATCAAAACAATCGACGAATAATTGCGAAAAGCTTTCAATCAATCAGTGAGTATTAAATAACAAGACCAGTGCGTACTTCTGATAAACAGAAAATAAAGTATCGCTTCTTTTATATTTAGAGACTTTCTCTGGTATTCGAGATATGTACCGACATGTCGCATAAAAAAATTGTTATAACAATCTTTTAATATTATGTGCTTTCACTTTTATTACATGAAACGGACCGAGGCTCAAAGTTAAAACTCAGGGAAGATGACAATGTTTCAAAATAAACCGTTTCTATTGCCTAGACGTGGCCAAGACATCTTGCACTGATTGACTAGATCACGATTATTAGCTACACATGTGCACGATCCTTGATGATAGAGAATAAGCAACGTATTTATAAATGCCGTAATCTAGGCTGTGTTATTTTATTTATGTTTACTAAATAAATGAGCTCACAACGCAAAAACATGTAAACTAATCACAAATTTCGTTTTGTGAAATTTAAGAGGAATAGGCAGGGAATGTTTTTTTTTTAATAATCATAATTGAAGCGAAATGTATTATTGTATGGTTGCACTTAAATTCAATCTTTGTTGTTGTTTTTTGTCAATATTCTAAGCTTTTTTTTTTTTTTTTTATAACTCGTGTTCTAATCGGCCAGAACAACCTACCAATAGCAAAAAAAAAAAAAGGTTAGCTTTTGCAAAATGATTGCAGCGATTTCATGATGAAATCAACCAAGATATACAATCATTGGTTTACTCTTCTCTACGCCAATTAGGAAAGTTATATGAAATATTTATTTGGTGTATGTACATTAATACAAAGTAGTAGGAAGGTAAGGCATCATGGTTTAGTATACGACTTCTAACGTGGTTTCGTTAAGGTATATCAGGAGCCGGTTGTCCATATTATATAAAGTATCTTTTTTATTTCTTTTTTTTTTAATTCGGGTACCGCTAAAGAAAAAATGTTATTACATTTAGCTTTGTTTTAGTTGAAGTATAGATTGTTAATACCCCAGAAAAAAATGTTTGAGTTAGTTAAATTTTTTATTAAAAATGAATGATGAATATTTGCTCGAAATTTGTTGTTCAATGGTTCAAAACTTTTTTTTTTTTTACAAAAAAAAAAAAAAAACCTTTATTATTTTGTTTCAATTTAAATCAAATAAATTTTGTATCCGTCGGTCAGCACACGTCAAAAGTGCGATATTCGTTAATTTTAATGATAAAAAACGTATATAATATGCATTTACTGTGAAATACTAAAAAAACGTTAAAATGATAAACATCGTGTGTATTATGACAGAGATTGCTGGTAACGAAACCAGCTTAGATACTAAGAGAGATAGAGATAGAGATAGAAAAGAAGAGAGAAAGAAAGACAGAGAGAGAGTAGAATGTGGTAGGTAAAGCAACGGTAGAGAGACGATGATAGGTTCTATTTGAACTTGGATCGAACGATAAAAAAAAAAGCTTGGCTAACTTGCTGGTTTCAATTCTTTCCTGCAACGATAGCTTGGTAGCTATCCTTCGGGGCATGTATGCTCTGAAGCCTGGAGCAATCTCCTCTCCTTTGGCCAGTGTCCTATTCGCTGGATTATCCTCTGGAGTGTCCTCTGAAGTATCCTTTGGAGTTTTCTTCAATTCTTTGGAGCAACGTCCGATTTTCTGCAGTGTGCTCCTAACCTCTGAAGCAATCTCCTATGCTCTGGAGTATCCGTCGGAGCAATGTCCTATCCTTTAAAGCATCTTCCTATCTTCTGAAGCAAACTCCTATCCTCTGGAGTATCTGCTGAAATAATGTCCTATCCTTTGGAGTATCCTCCTATCCTCTGGAGCAATGTCCTATCCTATGGAGTATCCTCCTATTCTTTGGAGCAATGTCCCATCCTCTGGAGTATCCCTCGGAGCAATATGTTACAACCACAAAAATGTTATACCTCAGATAACTTAAGTGGCCCCTTAACTCGCATCACGGAGCAATGCTTACACAAATTAATGAAAACACAACTCTCCTCCACATCGGCACCGACAGACCGATCTCGTAATCTCTGAGTCAGCAGCAATTATTAAATCCTCATAACTATCACCGTTAGCTACATAAAGCAGGAAAAAAAAACTATTAAGAAGGTTTTGAGTGCTACTATCTATTATTGCACGTTAGTGTAGAACCTCTCTTACCGATTGCAGTTGCCGGCCTCTCTTTTGCCCCTACGTCTTCTACGTGTTCATTCTTGTGGATGCCAAATGGCGTGTCGCATACCGGAATCCATCATCCGGAATTGGGAGCGTTTTGATTATCGTACGCCGCTGCGTGAGCCCCTCTACGTTATCGAACGAAATCGTGATCGTAGATCGTGAGTTCGCTCGTTACAGCTGTCTGTTTCAATTTGGTCCCGAATTGTATACCGGTACCCGGCCAGCACGCAAACGCGTAATCACTACTGCGTGATGCACGTCAAAGACCCCACGTTGCTAGCCGTTCTGCGTTAACGAAATCGGCCGTCCCCTTACCATGGCGACCGGTAAAGCACATCCCGATTCGAAGTGGCTTGATCTCACCTCTAATATGCGCCAACGCGCTGTTTACAGACTTTGCCCACTGCACCTGCGCAGAAACCCGATTGGCGAGAGATGAAGCTTTTGCGCATGCGCCATAGCGACAGCAGCGCCACCAAAATGGCGTGACGTCAGAACTGCTGGTACATCTATAAGCAGGAAACTAAAATATTCATACTTGATGCCTGTTTTGGAAGCGTGCTAGTCGAACGGAAGTATTGTCACGAAGCCACCGAAAGACGCCATCTTTGGCGGCGCGCCGGGATTCCAACTCCCACGAGAATCTTAATTACCTGTCAGGTATGCTGACCACTGCAGCATACCTCGTTGGCATTGTCGACGTTCTCAATTTGTCTTAACAAGTAGAATTGAGGTGTCAATCTCTGAATGGTATCGAGCGAGCGTACGTTATAATTGCTCCTCGAAACGAGAGAAGGAAAGTATCTCTACCTATGGAAGTCAACCGAAAAAGAAAGAAGAGAAAAATAGTTAGTATAAGAGGTGACAGAAGAAAGAGAATGAGCTGGCCTGGATATCGGTCGGCTGCATCGCCGCAGTCTGCGACAGGAGCGCCAACAAGAGAGCGGTGCAACGCAGCAGGGCAACCTGCAATCTCGAGATTGAGGCGGACAACCCGAAAACGAACGGCTCAGTTGGCACACGCCGTCACGCCATGCCCACCTTCTACCTCTCTCTTTCTCTTTCTCTTCGTCTATCCAAGCCTGTTTTTAGTCTTCCCCGCCAGACCGGTGTTTTTGAGAAATAAGACGACGGGGCCACCGTCGCGACGAATGAAGCGTTTAAGAGCGATGACATGATGTGGGGTATGACGAGGGGGGGGGGGGGGGGGGGGGGGGGGGGTTGGTTGCGCGCATCCAGGCGCAGCGGGAAGCAAAAAATAG